CCCCAAAACCCCAAAACCCCAAAACCCCACTTGGTTAAAAATGTTTATATTTGAAAAATCAGCAAAGGAATTTAATCAATTATTTTTATGACTAGGATGAGAAAAATACTAAACTATTCTATTTTATCTCTACTCTATCTGAGTAGTACCACTTTTTGTGAGGAATCGTACTATAAAGTCAGATTTTACAAGAGATTCATCTAAGATGCCTTCTAAAAAAACTTGAGAAATATCTTTGAGTAGTCATAGGATTTCTAAGTAAAGGACATTTACTTGAAGGACTTAGGCACTAAAATGACAAGTGTTCAGGTTCAGGTATTCCCTAAGGACTATAATTATGCCTCCAGTGAGGTTGAGGTATTCTTTGACGAAGGCTAGATCCTTCTTGAGATGCATGATCTTTATGTGGGTGGAAGTGGCCTCATAGTTGATCCTGAAAACGGAAACATAGAGAATGTGACATTCACAGCACCAATTAAAACTGGGTAGATCTTTATCACTCCATCAGAGACTATCAGACACAGTGAATTATATCCAAAGTTTATGATAGATGAAGTGAATATCGTAATCGATGAAGCAAGCATTATTGCTACTGCTCACGGAAAGACCCCACTTTTTAAAACTCAGAAATTCGAAGATGCCATTAAGAATTGGCTTCACAGTGAGACTAAATCAATTAAGGAATCCATTAAGAACAAATTGATAGATATTGAAAATACTTTGATGGATAAGATCCCTTACTCATTCACTAACTTTGGACATACATTCATTTACAGCCTGGCAGATAAGATCAAACTCAAGGAGGAATATCTAGAGATTTCCTTCACTAGCGAGCTAGAGGGTGTCGATCACGGAGAATTTTCTGAGAAATTGAGAAAAATATACCCTCAGTTCACTGATGTTGAGGGATGGAAGCAAGATATTCAGATGGTGTTCGACGAGAACTTCCTCAATCATATGTTCCTTTCTCTGTTCCACACAAATACTGTATTTAGTTTCAGAGATATTGCTATGAAAATGATTCCAGCAAAATATTAAAACACTGCTCTTTTGATATCTAATCTTCTCATGACTACTACATTGTACCCAATAGTGCCAGATATTGTTAAGGAATTTGAACATGGAAAATTAGTTGATCTCAGATGTGGATTCTCCAAATCATTCCTCTCAGATAAGATTGACAGTTCAGATTTAAGCCCCTCTCAAGTTTGGTTCAGAGACACTAATAAGATAGAGTTCAATTCTGCTTTTGGATGTGGTGTGTTTGTCTATATTGGTAAATATAATCCCTTCAGTCCTAGCAAACTTGTTGACAAATACTGGAAGAATTGGAGATCCTTCTTTTTCTAAGGTAAAGGGTGGGCTGATGTATCCATTTACGAAGGAAGATTTTATGATGAAACACGTGTCAAATTTTTAGATGGCAAATTGGATATCAATCAGTTTAAAATATACAAGGGAGAGTAGGAGTAGGTAGAAGAGGAAGAAAGCTATAAAAAGTGGGCAGCAGAATAGTTTGATCAGCTGCTTAGCAAGGAAGATGATCATGATTATAGATTCATGAGTCACCCTAGTTTCTTAGACTGCTTAGGAATCAAGCCAGAGTCACCAAAGATAGAGATTAAGGAGGGATTCATTAGAGCTAGTTATGCTTTGGACGTTTAGTCTGCTGATCAAGATTGCCTTTTAAATAAAAAGACAAGACTACATTGATGAAAATACCTTAATATGCTATTTGCAATTTATTTGATTATAAAATATTGATGATTATTAATCTTTATTTCATAACTTTAATCCAATCAATAACAAATATCTGTAGTTCAAAAGCCATGATTATTACTAAATTTTTCACTCACTCATTGTCTGTCATTCTGACTATCAAATCTCTAGTATCCTGAATAACATTAAACAGACCTCTAGATCCAGCTCTTAAGCTATGTATGTTCTTGGACTAGAATTTAAAGCATCGCTCATCAAATTCTATCATAGGTACTCTTCCTTAATTCAGCGATTTTTGTAATTGTTCTCGAGCGAATATACCAAACTTAAAACTCAAGTGTTAATCCATATTTATTGTGTGCTAATTGTTAAAATCATCAAACAGTGCTTATAGCTCAATAACTTTGACTATTGACTCATTTTCAGCAACTGATTAGCAGAGAATTATGATTTCTTCTTTACATTTACCAGAGTCTCTCACCGACATTGAGTTGAAGTGAAAGACACACTCCTTAATCAAGTATTCATCTGGCACTTGAATCATTTAATAGTTAATACTAACTCTGTTTCCTCCTAGTCGCTTTGACTAGAGATCCTATTGAATGATCATCAGAAATTGATTGTTTATAGAGTAAACCATATAAAACTAATTGCTATTATGACAATCCTTATGAGTCATATAAGAGTCAAGGACACGGTCATTAACATTCTCAAAGTAAAACAACTGTAGATATCTGAAATAAGGACTAAGACTTTCAAGTGGCTTCCTCATTTGCTTGTGAATTAAATCAAGGATTCTAGTAGTTAAAGTCTTTAAAGGAATGATCTGGATATTAGATGATTAAGCAGATTATTGCACAATTTGCTATTAATCAATTTATTGATTTTAGAGTTATGAAGTTTGGGCTATTTATCCTCTAATAACTGCAGCTGGTCTTTAATTTGAGGTATAGTCACCCGAGGATAAGTGAGATCTTCTAGTCTATCTTCTATTTGAAGAGTTCTATAAGAATTTTAAAAATATTTATTGTGTGATTACCTGTGTCATTTGCTGCTATGAAAGAATGCTTTAGGCATTTACTTACTATATATTTATCATTTAATGCGATGACTGTTCTCTTAAGTTTTGCTTCTGTCTTTCTATCTCATCTTCTTCTTACTTTTAAAGCTGCTTTAAACTCCCAATCAGATCCTCACTGTTGAACCCCTAGACAATTTGATTCTCAGCATCAATAGGCAACTTAAACTAGCCTTCTTCAAACTGCTTTTAAATATGCTATAGACCAATTTATGCATCGCCCTTCTCTAAAAACGTTATCAATCTGTTTTGATCTGGTACAAGCTTAGCCAGATGACTTTTAGCATTCTCAATCTCAAGAGGGTTTGTCTGTTGTGACTGCTAATGATTGGCATTTGCCAATTTAAGAACCATAGTATTACAATACACAAGGAAATTTCTAATCTCAACCTTTGCTTCAATGATATCCAAGAGCAGCTATTGGACTTAGTGGAAGAGGTAATTCATGAAGTCTATTAATTTCTAAATTATTGCCTCATTGAAGGAAAAGAACATTGAGTGCTATGTTGATGAGGTAGATTAGTTTTGAGGGAAAATCAAGGACTTAGACTTGACAAGACCTCTTAACTCTGAAAGAAGAAGCAACGTCTTCTCAATTACTGGAATGATTTTATCTGTGATCTCATCCTCGATGTTTGAAAAGACTAATTACGTATTCTCATCGTGCCTTTGGAGAATCTTTGTATTATAGTTCTCGTCAGTCAAGAATTTCTAGACAAGTGGTGAGATTTTACCTTTCACCACAACATCTAAAAATTATTCTGATATAGGATTAGCAGAACTTTTTGCATGTCTGCTTTCTGGTTTAAGGAAATTAATAACTTGAGTATGACTTTTATATATCTTCTGCCAAAATGTAGTCTTGCAAGTCATTTCAATTCTCTGCTCTAAGTACCTTACATATTCCTCTATCATGGGGAAGTTACTGAACAACTTCAAATAGCTATCTTATTTCAATATTCTAGATGATATCACTCTAGTGTCTATATTCAGTAAGAAAGCACCTTGAATTTAGTTATCAGCATTGAATACTTCAGCTAAGGTCATCAACTGGTCACAAGTATCAGTGCTGCGTAATCTTCTGATTTTGAGTATCAGATTACTTGCAAAAGTATTATGAGGAAGAATATCCTTGATCTTAAAGCAAGCGATTGGAAAATGACCTTGGTAAAGCAGGGAAATATTTAGAGAAGCATCTGCTGTGTAAACTATACTGCTCTAGGTCACTGCTGGGTTCTAGATTTCACTCAGAATTGCAATTTTCTCTATGATCTCTTTTGGTACCTTTGAATCTATACTTTGTAGTGGCTTGATGTGCAGGCCGCTCTTGTCATTTTGAATGTACGGACTTTTGTATTGTTTAGCTTCCTAATAACAAATAGCTGTGATTGGGGAAATATCATCTACAATCTTTGTTGCAAATATTTCATAAGCAGAATCATCGCTCTTAATAATGCTAACTTTTCCATCCTCGTAGCCTATGATTACTTGTTTGCCATTCTTAGTGAACTCTAGCGAAGTAGGCCCAAGTAAATCTTCCTTTTAAAACACCTTTTAGTGCTTGAACCCGACTCTATGAACTTCAATTGAGTGGTCTGAAGTGGATATCAAACCTATAAGATCCATATTTTAGGACCATTATATGTGCGGGTTATCATAGGACAATGAAATTCTATCATTTAAAGAAGCTGCTATATTTGCTGAGCTTTAAGAATCTGATGTTTAGTTCATCATTTGTAATCTTTATGCTTAATTTGAATTCAAATATTAAATTATTTTATAACTTTAAAACCTTAGAATCATTTCATGCGGGGTTTTGGGGTTTTGGGGTTTTG